GAGGAGAACTGCCCCATAGGGCTTCTGAGGCTGTAAATCTTTACGGAAGCACACTGCCACATCTTTCTCCCACAGAGCAGCTTGCGGGGGTGGGGGTGGGAGGTGCAAAGGGTCCAACTGCAGATTCCAGCCAGGAGAAAAGCTCAGTATCCCTGTGTCCTGGGTTCTAACACCACCTTTTCTCAGTCTAACTTAGGCATATCTTAATTTCTCCACCTGAATAACATCTCCAAAAGACTCAGGATGAAAGACTGTAACGTGCGTGCAACTGTCACTCTTTGAGTCATGAAAGAAATGAACAGGAAAATGCCGGCAAACAGGAGACATAACCAGGAACGGTACCAGGATGGGTAAAAACACGCTGAATCAGGCTCTTCTGAACAACAAATATTTAAATACGCAGCCTCTCAGATATTAAACTTTGTCTTGGCTGCAAGGTTCAGGGACGTTTTTAAGTGGGCCCATTAAATGGAAGCACAAGCGCGCACATTCTCAAACATTTTACGTAATTTTCCAATTTCTTTAGTTTCATCCAATACACCTGCCACCATGAATAAATTCATCATCTGGAGCCATATCAGCTGGGCCCTGTTACTCCAGGAAAGCAGAAAACTGGAGTGCAGTGAATACATTCTTGGAGTTTTGGGTAATCCAAAATTTTGTGGGTATAGAAGTGAATGAAGATAGTGGGGGCAGGGTAGGGGTGGGGGAGCAAGGAACAGAGATGAATGTTCCTTCAAAGAGCAGGGTCACAAAAATGGTCTTGTCACAATAACTTTAGGTTTTGACGCTACAAAGTCCAGGTTTTCAAGTTTCTCAGTATGGCGGATTAAAGACGACCACAAGGACTTGGACATGTTCCCACTGAAAGGCGGGGTCTGATGATCAGATGCTGTGACCTCTGATCTAAGCCTTCCTCCCTACCCCTTGCAATGGTAGAGGTAGTACTCTCCTTTATGTGGGACAAATCCTAGATGGAAGGTGGTTTGGTGTTCTCATTTGCTCCTAAAGATTCACTCTCTACCCTTTCTCCAACTTGCTCTGAGTCCCAGAGGTTGACCTTTCTAGGCAGAACTAACTGGGCTCTTGTCTGTCTCATTTCTGATTGAGTTCAGTCCACAGGAGGCACCAGGAGGAGACCAGCGGGCAGGAGGAAAGGGAAGTCAGCTTTCCCAGCTCCTGCCAGGGCCCCTCCCACAGTTCCAGTTCTGCTGACTCATGTCATCCTCTTGCTCCTTTAGGCCCAGGGGATGCAGTGACTTCCCTGGCTGGTTCCCCTTAACCTTCA